TTGACAGTTTTCAGAAAATTATAACAAGGACTTAGGATACATATATTGTTATATATGTATATCAAGGTGTCCTTAATATGAGAATTTTCAAATTTCCTTGCGCCCAAGAGCTCAAATGCTTCTAAATTGACAAAAAACAATTCTCTGAAAGTTTTAGCTCTTAATATTAACTCTAAGATAATGCGCAATGCAATCACACCTTCGTATGGAAATAGCATGGAAAAAATTGTGAATTAAAAAAAAATTGTTTTTTACGTATAAACGTAGCGACAAATGAATTAAAAGTGACAAAATATGAAATTATGTCTGTATATACTTGTGGTTTATATCAAGGTTGTTTTGCTCGTCAGTAGAGTCTTTTCTTATTTTTTCTGCAATTTAATTTTGCTCGTCAGTAGAGTTCTTTTCTAATTATATAAAATTTAATGTTGCTCGTCAGTAGAGTCCTTTCACATTTGTTGTGGAATTAAATTTGCTCGTTGACAGAGTTTTTTTCTCATAGTATATGACATCTAATTTTGCTCGTCAGTAGAGTCCTTTCCTAATTTCTCTCTCTCATTTTTTACGACATTTTAAATACCTTTTTGTCAAATATAATTTTGCTCGTCAGTCGAGGCTTTTTCTTATTTTCACTGGAATACAATTTTGGCTCATCAGTAGAGTTCGTTTATAATTTTTATTTAATTTAATGTGCTCGTCAGTAGTGTTCTTTAGTTATTTTATGTAATCCCAGAGAGGTGGATAAAATATTCCTTCGAACACATTTTTCTTTCAAAAGTGGACCGCGGTTATTACCTTGAGGAACACCTATCGATAATAATCAACTCACTCTAAGAATCTTCTGGAGAGTCTAAAACTCTGAACAGGGTTGGGAAAAGGGGACTCTACTGGCGAGCAAAAAAAACAAATGCTATATTTAAGAATGGGTCATTGATTTTGACAAAAAGGGACTTCTACTGACGAGCAACCAAAATCCAATTCCAATTGCAATTTCGGAAGTACAAGTCTATTAGTATTGGTTGGACAAATATTTGTAGAATAGAGCCTTTTTATATTTCTGTGTTGTCATTTCTATATCAATTAATTTACATTTAAAATCATTTATCTTAATGTCCATGTATTAAATTATATCTAGTATAAGAACCTTTTGCATCCTGCTACAACACCAGCGCCTCTAGCGGTGCCGAGAGCAATTATTTTGCTCGTCAGTAGAGTCCTTTGTTCATTTTACGTGGAATTTAATTTTGCTCGTCAGTAGAGTCCTTTTTTATTTTATGACCACGAAATATCGTTCGAGTACGCTGAATGTTTCTTTAATTTTCAAAATATAGAAAATTTACCACACGTATTATTATGTTTTTTTTTTATTTTTCGTCTTGTATACTTTAATTTTCTTTGTCGGTAGAGTCCTTTTCTTATTTTATGTGGAATTCAATTTTGGTCGTCTGTAGAGTTCTTTCTTTTCTTAATATTTTTGGAATTTGATTTTGCTTATCAGTAGAGACCTTTCTTCATAGTATTTAACTTTTAATTTTAATTTTTTTAATATATATACATGGAATCATAGATAGATCACTCTCTGAAAATAAGCTGCAAAAACTCCTTGAACAATTCTGAGATGCAGTTTTGGTGAAAAGGTTCTGGTTTAATAAAGAACAGTACCAGATAGTATTTAAAAAGAAAAGGAAACTAAGCTGGAAACATATTTAAAAAATTTGGCATTAAAAGAAAAGAGTAAAGAAAGTTGTAGGGATAGAGTAATGTCTTCTGTTCTATATTGACGATGATACAATATGAGCAAAAAAATAAACAACAAGGAATACTATGCATGCATTAGTATTTTATATTTTTTATATTTCATTGAATTATGTGACATAATTTTGCTCGTCAGTAGAGTCCCTTTTTACTTCTGTTGAAACTTGATTTTGCTCATCAGTAGAATCTTTTTCTCATTTTTTGTTTTTTTATTTTGCTTGTCAGTAGAGTCCTTTCCTAATTTTCTCTTATTATTTACGGAATTTTATAAATACATTTTGTGTCGAGTATAATTTTGCTCGTCAGTCGAGTCCTTTTCTTATTTCCACTGGAATACATTTTTGCTCATCAATAGAGTCCTTTCCTAATTTTCTGTGAAAATCAATTTTACTCGTCTGTAGTCTTTTTCTCATTTCATGTTCAATTCATTTTTGCGTAAGTAAAGTATTTTTCTCATTTTTTTGCAATGTAATTTTGTTTGTCAGTAGAGTCATTTTCTTGTTGTATGTGACATTTGTTTTGCTCATCAGTAGAGTCCTTTATTCATTTTTTGTTGAACTCAATTTTGCTCGTCAGCCTAGTCCTTTTTTTCATTTTATGTATACATATTTTATTTTGCTCGTCAGTAGAGTCATTTCCTAATTTTATGTGAAATTCGATTTTGCTTGTCAGTAGAGTCCTTTTCTTATTTTCTATGAAATTTAATTTTGCTCGTCAGTATAGTCATTTTTTATTATATGTATATTTTATTTTGCTCATCAGTAGAGTCCTTTTCTCGTTTTATATGGCATTTCTGTTTGCTCGTTAGTAGAGTCCTATGGAATTTCTTAAAGTGACAATGACATTTAATTTTGCTCGTCCTTTCCGTATTTTATGCTGGATTCAATTTTGCTCGTCAGTAGAGTCCTTTTCTTATTTTATGTGGAATTAATTTTGCTCGTCAGTAGAGTTCTTTCCTCATAGTATGCGACATTTAATTTTGCTCGTCAGTAGAGTCTTTTTCTTATTTTATGTGGAATTTAGTTTTGCTCGTCAGTAGAGTCCTTTTGCCATTTTTAAAAGAGAGACTTTCTATTTTTATTCCAATGTATTTCTCAGTTTAGTTCTCTTTTTCACTTTTTATCAAATTTCAGTTTGTTCGTTAGTAGAGTTCTTTCACATTTGATTCAATTCAATAAACCATTTTGATTTGTGACTTAAAGTGATAAAAATTTTATTAATACAAGACATATTTTTTATTAATTTAATGTGATTTTAATTTAAATTTTAGTAATATAATACGTTATCTTTAATCTAATTTGAACGACTCAAGTTATTTTTCGTACGTTTCGACTTAGAATTTTGGTCATCGTTACATGACTTTTTTTTAAATGTTATAAGTCTCCAGCTCTCTGCTAATTTAGCTGCTGCAGCAGCTTCTGCCAGCGGCTGTTCGAATGACTCTCGAGGAATTCCGAATGTAAATAAATATAAACGATTCTGCCAAGAATAACTTTGCGAAAATACACACTGCAGGTCTTTTACACCGACAACATATTAACCGTTGTTTCTGACCGCATTGTTTTGCAAAATAGTAATAATACCAAAAAAAATAAGAAGCGACATAATAAAAAATTGAAGTAAAACTTATTTGCTACTGTACAAGATGGCATTTAAGTAAAAATAAATACATTATATAACAATTTTGAATAATGTTCATTAATAATATGGTAACACTCGTCGTGATGCACATATTTATTAGTCTTCAACCATTATACACATTTATATAATGATAAATTATAAATTATATATTTATGATAGCATTAAAAATATGTATAATATTTAAAAACAATAATGTAATTAAAGTCATACTTCAAATATGACATGATCGGTTTGTCATTGTAATTAGCATTTAGAAATGAACCTTCATTAGAGAAATTAATTAATTGCTGATTATTAAATTCTATAATATTCGTTCACATTCACAAAATGAATGAAGGAGCAAAATTTAATGTTACATACTTTGAGAAAAGAACTCTACTGACGAGCAAAATTAAATTATCCTTAATGAGTAAGCAACTCTACTGACGAGCAAAATTGAGTTTAACATGAAATGAAAAAAGGACTCTACTGACGAACAAAATGGAAAACAAAAAATATGAGAAAAGGACTCTACTGACGAGCAAAATTAAATTCAAAAAAATGAGAAAAGGACTCTACTGACGAGCAAAATTAAATTCAAAATAAAATGAAAAAAAGGAGTCTACTGACGAGCAAAATTAAATTGCACAAAAAACGAGAAAAGGACTCTACTGACGAGCAAAATAGAAAACAAAAAATATGAGAAAAGGACTCTGCTGACGAGCAAAATTAAATTCAAAATAAAATGGAAAAAGGAATCTACTGACGAGCAAAATTAAATTGTACAAAAATGAGAAAAGGACTCTACTGACGAGCAAAATTAACTTCAAAATAAAATAAGTAAAAGGACTTTACTGACGAGTGGATTATGTTAAACAACGCCGCCCAAAAAATATTGTTTTCGTAACTTCACTCATCATGTAATAATTGTGTTTGAAGAACTTCATGTAATTAAAATTAACATACATTCATTGACTGCTTGTATTTTTTTACTTTTTCGCTGGCGATACAGTCTCATTCTTTGAACAGCTGTAATATCTGTCTTGCTTGAAAAAATATTTTCCATTTTAATAACTTCAAAGATTTATAGAAATTACGAATAATATAGAAATAATTTTTAATCAATAATCTTACGTTTAGTACACGGCACAAATGCTTAATTCGTTTTATTGTTTTCAAGGAACAGTAATTTGGAATGTTCATTTATCTATGCCGTTTTCCTTGTTGATATCGGTACGCGTACAACGTTGATGCCGGTACGCATGCAACGACAGATCTCTATTCACATACACGACGACTAATCACAATCGACCCGTATAGAAATGATATCATCGAGAGCAAATGACGAATCATTGGCATTCGACTCTTATCTTATTTTATAAGCCGTAAAGCACTTCCGTTGCATTTGTTCAAATTTACACCCTAGTCGCGCCTAAAGAAGTTTTACTTCGATAAACATAGTAAATGTTTACGCGTTCCAAAATTGTATTTTGATTCTTATAAATTTATGATTGCTATAATTATTTGATACATAATTTAAAATTTTGTTTTAACAAAATATTATGTATATTTTTTTATGGATACTTTTAGAATGAAAATAATAATTTTATTATTTTTTATTCCAGTTCTTCGTGAAGATTTCCGATCAGAGCCGAAGGACACTCGTTTGGCTGCCGGCGAAACTGCTTTATTAGAATGTGGCCCTCCGAAAGGAAATCCAGAACCAACACTGACATGGCAAAAGGTAAAAAAATATAATTCAGCTGTAAAATATATATAAAACATACCTAACGCATTTTTATAAATTTTCAAAAGTTCCTGGCAAATTTTAGTGGATTTTAGTATCTTTCTACTCGAGAATTTGATAAATTTAGTAGATTTTTGTCTATTACATGTTTTTAATAATATATTTGTGGTTTCTACATATTTATTGAATGTAAGATCTTGTAAATTTTATGAATTTATTTTCAGAACGGTGTTACATTAGAATTACAATCACCACGTGTAAGAGTAGTCGATGGAGGAAATTTAATGATCAGAGAAGTCAGAACAAGTGATCAGGGCAGATACAGATGTGTTGCCCAAAATATGGTCGGACAGAGGGAAAGCATTGAAGCCAGACTTACCGTACATGGTAAGTAGAATCATAAACTTTCTCAAAAATCACATTTTCAAATAAAGTCAAACTACGACTTCAAAAACAATATTTAAATATGCAAAGCGCGTCCCCGAATTCCAAAACTTTATATCGTGTATCAAAAACCTAATCCCATCATTAAATCTTAATTATACTATATCACTTATTTGCTCCCCAAAAGTATCAAAGAACGTTCTTTGAATTTTAAACGACTTTAAATCCTCTGTATTAAACATGCCATCAATACGCGCGTCTCCCAATCTGTACACCCAATCTGTTTTGGGGCGCCCGCTTAGGGGAAGGGGTGAGAGTTCAGACAAAAATTGATTCAGTAATAGAAATTGATGTACTAAAGTCCCGCAGAATGCTTTATTACTACTATAAATTTTAGTATACTTACCACTCTCAAATGTGAAACATTGTCTTAAAAACTACTTGCCGCCCACTCTCGGGAAGAAAACTTTTACTTTTTTACATTAAATTTGTTAAAGTTCCTAATTTTGCGCAAGGATCAAAAGTCAATCGACTTGAATGAATAAGTAATTTTGTATCGGTAATGTTTTTTTTGTAAAATTAGTATTTAATAAAAAAATTTTGGGACCACACCGTCCTGAATAATACAGACAAAAATTGATTGCTCATCACGAACATAGGCCACTTTTATCATCTATTTTGCGCCTACTTATCCCTTTTATTTACTAGTTAACCTACAAATGTCCACTCTCACCATCGTATTTATATCATATTTACCCGGGAAACAAACTTTTACCTTTTCACATTAAGTTCCTAATTCTTCGCCAGGATCAAAAGTCGATCGACTTCTCGAAGTATGGTAAGATTTAAGGTTTTGAAAAGATTTAAGGGATCAAAGTTGCCTTTTCATTCGAGTGAGTGATGGTCTAAGGGATCAACAACTTTGGGGAATAAATGAATAATTTTGTATCGGTAATGATCTTTTTTAGTACAACCGTATCTCAAAAAGAATAAAAGACACGTATAAACGCATATCGATAAAAATCTAAGAGATCTTTCTGGCTTATTATTATTTTTTAATATTTTTCTTTCACACAAAAAATTGATAGAGTTATGATTGTTTAAAGAGTGCGCGGCCGCGCAATCAGAGTCTCAAAAATTTGATAATCAAGATAGAAAACATATTATTTACTTTATACGCAATTCTTATTATATCATACCGAAATTTATTTTTAAGTGATTTTTGGAGTTGAAAATTATTTTATTAAAAGGTATTAAAAATATTTTTAATGTTATCCTTTAATATTAAAAACGATTTCTAGCGATAAAACGGCTCAATGTCCACTTATTTATTAAGGGATGGTGGCGGAACCCGAATCGTTTCCACATTTGAACTTGAGGTTAAGATCAGCCTAATTCCAGAATTTCATGGAATTCGGAGCACAGTAAAAAAATTCAGAGATTATACCCTTGTTTCTTCTCCGTTTACTGCACTATTACGAATAATAGTTAACCTATAAATGTCCACTTTTACCATCACTTTTTACCCAGCTACACAGGTACTACTTTTACCATCTACATTGCCTCTTTTCACCACTTTTAATTACAAGTTAACCTACAAATGTCCACTTTGACCATCAACTTTATATTATATTTACCTCTACCCCCCACGTCCGGGAAGCAAACTTCCTAACCCTGCGACGGGATCAAAAGACTGAAACTGATTACCCATCACAAACAGATACTAATTTTACTAGTGTCCACTTTTATCATCAACTTTTCATTATATTTACCCCTACACCCCCACGCTCGGGAAGCAAACTTTTACCTTTCCACATAAAATTCGCCTAGAACTTCCTAATTCTTCACAAGGATCAAAAGTCGATCGGTTAGATTTAGAGAGTCTCTGGAAAAGATTTAAAGGACAAAAGTTGCCTTTCCATTCATATGCTGCACAAGATCAAGAACTTTTATCATTTCGGGGGTTATAGATGAATAATTTTGCATTGCCTGGTTTTTATCTCTAATTCTTTTTTATTTTTCAGTAAAACCGTATCTAATAAAAGAACCTCGAGACCAGACTGTCCTGGTAGGGCAGAGTGTTCGGTTCGAATGTACTGCTGGAGGTGATCCTCAGCCTACTATCATGTGGCGTAGGGACGATGGCAAGATGCCAGTAGGCAGGGCGGGGGTCCAGGATGACAAGTCTCTAAGAATTGATGCAGTGACGGCGAATGATGAAGGGACTTATGTTTGCGAGGCTGATAATTTAGTTGGGAGCGCCCAGGCTAAGGCGGTGCTGGTGGTCAATGGTGAGTAAAATTGTAGTATGTAATACATATATGTATATATACATATATATATATATATATATATATATATACTAGCTAACCCGGCAAACGTTGTTTCGCCATAAAAAATAAGCCTAAATTGATAAAAAATTAATAAAAGTGCCAAAAATCAAATATTTAATAGATTTTGACTCTGATTTGTTGAAAAATAGTTAAAAAAATTGTTATAATTTTAAAAATTATTTGACATTTTATACTTCAAAAATTAATTCACTTGCATCATAGTTTTTTGTTTATTATACTTTTGTCATGTCATATATGTCAATAAAATTTTCTTTCAAATATTATTCATTTGTTAATAAATTAATAATTATTTTAAGTCATCAATGAATAATTATATAATTGTTAAATTCATAAGTTTGGCTAAATCAACACAGGAATATTGTGAAAATAAATATTTTTTTACATAAAGATCTGATTTTTGTCATATGCATTTTATTTCAAATTAATTATAATTGTCCAAATATTTTCTTTTTGGTCAAAATTTAATATAATATGATATAATATTTAGTTTGTCTAGTTTTATTTTGTCAGATTCCAATGATACCCTCAGATTGTACTATTCCATTTAAGAGGTTACAATTTCCTGTAAGATTAGCATTTGCGATGGCAATCAAAATATATCTTAACTGATATATTAATAATAATATTATATTTTAATTACATAAATTTCTTTAAACGACGATAAATAATTCCAACGCGTCATAGTGTTTTGTTTATTTTAATTTTGTTTATGTCAATTTTTTTTTAAATTAAAGAATAAATTAAATTTTGGTCTAAATCAACGCAGTATCTTTACCTAAATATACAATTTTTTATATAAATATTTGATTTTTTACATTTGCATTTAATTAAAAAGTAGTGAATGTCAATTTCATATATCCAATATGCACTAAATTTATAAATGTCAAAATATTTCCTTCTTGGTTCAAAATTAATATAATATGATAATATTTATTTTACAATAATGTTTTGTATCTATAATTTGCTTGGCAATATTGCCTATAACATAACTTGGAATAATTAATTTATTTGCTTCTTATTGAAGTAAGTCGTTAAACATTTTTTTTGTGAAATGTCAAAATTTTGTTTATGATTAATTTTAAATTCAATATGCCGCTTTTTTATTGTGATCTCTGATCTATAATGTTTTGATGAAGTTTTGGTTTCCGAAATAATTTGGTAAGCTAATCAATTAAATCTAAATCGTAAATCTATTTATATAATTATTTTCATAAATACTGACAAATGACATTTAATTTTTTTACATGTCAACATTTATTCAAATTTTTAAGCATTGATTTTTAATTAGATTTAAAACTATAAACAGTGATTTTGAATATAGCATTTCATCAAATTTGGATTTAAATGTTGGATATTTCTATATATGTACATGTTTTTGAATTTTATTTTTTGAAATGTCAAATTTTTTTTCAAAAATTATATATCGAAATTTCCTTAAATTTTGACATTTGTCATTTTAGTGTTTTGTTTTTTTTTTGGTCATTTTCTGTCAAAATTTTTAGAAATTTATAAAAATTATATATTTATATTTCAAATTTACTTTTCAAAATTTCCTATAACCTAAGTTGGATATATATGCACACGATGATTCAATAAAATTTAAAATCGGTCCAGTAGTTTGGGCGTCCATCGCGAACCAACATCGTGACACGAGATTTATATATATATATATAGATATAATATATATATATATATATATATATATATATATACATATATATGTATATATACATATATATGTGATTAATGCAATATGCTTTTATTTCTGAACGATTTCGACCCCTCGATAAAAAACGCACGATGATTTTCTGCACTAAAGAAAATAGCGAACAAGACAAAAACTTATGGAAATTTTTGTATATATATAATATATATATATATATATATATATATATATATATATATATATATGGAGACAGAATAGCCACTCGAAATTCATGAACCGGAGGGAATGATATTTTATTCATGATTCCAAAAAGCTAAAAAGCTAAAACGGTTCTTCATATGATAACATCATGCACAGATGCTACTTTGAGCCCGACTTTATATTTCTATAGAAATTTATAAATGTATATATATATATTATATATATATATATATATACATATATGTACGTAATTGCAAAGTAGTAATTTAAAAATTAATGCCACACTAAAATGCAATATTTCAATTCAATCAATTTATTTAAAAGTTCTTTTATATTTTTAATGAAAGTGAATTTCAAACGTTTATATAAATTCTTTAATTTTTTTATTCTTTAATAAAAATCTAGAATTTATCAAATTAAATATTTGAAAAAATGTAAGTATGTAAATGTATAAAAATGTAAATGTATAAAAATTTTCAGAATATTAAAAATTATTCATTTTTTTTTAAAAAAGATCTAATGTAAGAAAATGAAATGTTTAATTAATGTAAATTTTAAATTAACTAAAACTGTTTGATATTTCTGATTTTTTAATTTTGTTTTCAAAATAAATGAACATAAATTTAAACGTTTAATGATTTCTATATTTTTTTTATTTTTTAATAAATATTTCAGAAAATGTAAGTTCAAAAATGTATGAAAATTATCCGAATACTAAAATTATTCAATTTTTTTAAAAAGATCTGATGTAAGAAAATAAAATGTTTAATTAACATAAAATTTTAAATTATCTGAAACTGTTTAATAGTTTCTAAAATTCAATTAAATTTTTCAAAAAAAATGAACATAAATTTCAAATGTTTATTTCAATAATTTCTATAAAATTTTAATTTTTTAATAAAAATGTACAATTTATCAAAAATGAATATATGAAAAGATGTAAGGTCAAAAATGAGTGAGAATTATTAAAATATTAAAAATTATTCAATTTTCTTAGAAAAAAATCTAATGTAAGAAAATAAAATCTAAAGCTGTTTGATATATTCTAAAATTCTTTTTTTTTTCAAAAAAAAAATGAACACAAATTTCAAACGTTAATTAATTTCTATAAAATTTAAACTTTTTAACAAAAATCTAAATTTTAAAAAATTTAGTTAATAATTTGAAAGAATACATATTATAAATTTGTTGGATATTTTTAAAATATTAATTTTATAATTAATTTATTATTTAATTTTCTCAAAACAAAATTAAAAAATATAAATATTTATGTAATTTTCACAATATCAAAAAATGTTAATGTTTTAATTTTTCAACAAAAATCTAAACTTTACAAAAAATTAATTAAATATTTGAAGAAATGCATAAGAAAATTTTGATGAAATTTTTCAGAATATTAAAAAGCATGCAATTTCTTAAAAAATTTAAAAAATGAAAATTTTAATTAATGTAAATTTTAAAATATAGAAAAGTGTTTAATGTTTCAATTTTTTAATAAAAATCTAAATTTTACAAAAAATTAATTAACAATTTGAAAAAATGCATATTAAAAATTTGTTGACGATTTTTAGAATATTAAAAATTATTCAATTTTTTTAAAAAACAATTTAAAAAATGAAAATGTTTAATGTAATTTTTAAAATTTTGAAAACTGTACTATTTTTTAATTTTGTAATAAAAATCTAAAAATCTAAAATTGAATGAATTTGAATGATTATATTTAGATTATGCTGAATTGATCAATTTTTTTAATAAATTTTAAAAAATATTAAAAAAACATTCATAGAATTAAAAAAAAACAATTTTTGGTAAAGGGTTTTACCAAAAAAATGTAACATTAAAAAAAATCAACAAAATTAAATGCAATATCAATATTTAATTTTAAAAT